TGTAAAACATATAGACCATCTGCAAGATATCATAGTAGGTAATAATGTTGGTCGAGTAACTCCCCAAGCGTCTTTTATGAACGACGATAACAACTACTTTTCTATGAGATCGTTGCGACATTTAGTCTCGTGCTCGGTGTCAAAGCTCCTTACGTGCTTTGTTGCCCAACTGTTGGAGACCTTGCCCTAATGCGTCCAGGACATGCATACAATTGGCAGATGGAGGCAAAACTTGATTACTCCTTACTTGCCGTTATAAGCAATGCCCTATTTTCATTGTTTCTGTACAGTCCAGCAGCACAGCATTTGGCCGTCGATGGGGAGAAACGGCGGTTAAGGAAAGACGGAAGATATTCATGCCACATCAAGAACAGACGTGCAAATTAAAGGAGAAATTAACTAGTCAGTAGCTCCCTCTCCAAACGCCGACAAGTCAATCTCTGGCTGGCGTGACTTATAAAGTAGTTTCACCGTTGGATCGCATATAATCTCAGTTCCGTGCACGATCGACTTGGGCCGGTCAACGTGGTCGGCAAATTTCCAGTCGTATTTCATCAGCAGGTGTACAAGGAGAATTTTAATCTCGTTATTGGCGAAGAAGCGGCCAGGGCATGCATGCATGCCGTGACCGAAACCGAGGTGCTCCGGACTGGTCGTGACGAACTGGTATCGATGCTCGTTGCCAGGTTCCTGGCGTTTGTTGTAAAACCGAAAGCCGTCATATACCTTGGCATTGGGATAAATCGACTCATCTTCCATAACATGGGCCGAAACAACTACATTGGCACCTTTGGGAATATAGGTACCGTCGGAGAGCACGACCGCCTCCGTTGCAATGCGATTGAAAAAGGCTATTTGAAGGGAAGCACGTCAGTAGGCTAATACTACGAGCGGTTTAACCGAACAGACGGCTGTAAAGTCACTTACCGATAGACACAGGGTTTGTGCGTTGACTCTCTTTCATGACACTGTCCATCAACTTCATCTTAGTGAGACTAGTCTTTTTCAGGATGCTGTCTTGTTCAACGATGACCTTGATCTCATCTCTCAATGGTTGGATGTATTCCGGATGGGCCGTCAAATCATACATCACATTTGTCAGCATATTCGATGTCGTGTGAATTGCCGCCACAGAAAGACCAATCTGCGATACTGTTTCATCGTAGGGACGGCCTGCCGCAACCTCTCGAAACCAATCTAGGGCATCTGCATGCGCTCTAGGGGGGTTCTCCCCTGGCAGTTTACCCTCCCGGATCATGTCTCTCTTAATGATCTCTTGTTGAACAATCTCAGCCGCCACTTTTCTGTGGTGCCGAAGCTTTTGCATCGATGGCATAAACCAGTGTATGAATGGCCGAGCAATTGCCGGCCAGTCTCTGAGTCCACGAGCCGCGTTGAACGCGTCGATGGTGTAATTAACTGATACATTTAGCCATGTTTCATTCCGACATATCTTCTCTCCCAAAAACACCAGCGATGACAACCGAGCCACCATATGCGGGATCTCCTGTGCGAAAGTAAAGGGCTTCCATTCTAGCGTTCAGCAGTTGCCATCAGTGAGTGTCTTTCTAAATTTTGCTGCCATACCACATACCGTCAGATCCAGGTAGCTTGTCCGTCAAAACAGCAGCGGTTTCCTTTGACAAGGGGATAGTCAACTGGCCTAAAGACAAGACAAAGTCATTAGAGAACAAAAGCATTTCTTAACCAGCAACATATCCGTACCGAGCGAATGCGTTAGTTTTTTATTGATCACTTCTATAGCAATTTCTTCCCTCGTTTGGTCGCCGAATGGCTCAAACCCCGGTATGGTTGCACCAAAGAAAGCCTGAGATTGTCAGTACTCGTCTTTGCCGACCGATATAGGTGGCTACCTTTCTAACTGCCTCTCTGAAGTCTAAATGTGGATGGTTTTTCATCTCATTCACATAACGAGGGTGCAGAACTATGGTCGGACCAGAAGTAAACATGGCCTGAAAGACGGTTCTACCCTAAACTCAAGCGTCAGTGTCCTAAATCTCTTTTTGTCTTTCTGCGTTCTAGGATAGGGCAAGGCACATCCCATACCTGGCTAAATCCTTGCACCATCAAATCTTTTGCAGAGGTGACGAAGAGCTTTTTGGCCTTTGTGTTCGAGAGTTCCCATCTACTTCTCCCCACGAGGGGAATTTTACGGTATGGCAAGCCATCTGCGAGTTCTCTGTAAAAGTTTGACACAAATATCAGAGTCAACGCCACTGCAATACCTCGGAAGAAGTAGTGGCTTTCTAGAAAATCAACAAGTACAGGCATCTTGTAATAGCCTCCCGTGCCAATCAATCAGAGAATGTGCCCCTGTACTGCTGCTTTTGCTGTGGCCTTATATACCCACACTAAGTGCACAACTGCCCTCCAATTGACTGGTTCTATGGCCCCCTCTGCACGGAATCCGTGACACCCGAAGTGGGGATATATTCGATACGCTGAATACGACGAGGAAACCTCGACTACAGAACAATGAACTACAGTGGCTCGGCTGGGCCCCGATGGTGGGTCGAGACCGTCAATCAACCACTTTGTCAGACAGGCCATCCCCGCAAAGAATTGGTTCTTTGTTTGGTTCATGGGGTGGCTTCCAGGGCGGAGAATGATGATAGGCAATCGAATTTCCTAAATAGGCATGTCGTTGTCTTCAGGTTTGTCTTCCATACTTGAGTGCGCCACATCGGCTGCGGGAGTTTCTCGGAGGATTAGTCGTATGGTTTCAGACGTTGTCAGCATAATTCAATGCTCATTTATGCTCAAACTCAAAGAGAGGACTGTTCAACACTGGCCCCATATTGTTGTATGTACTTGGACAGGAGGAGCCACCGTGAGTAGTTGTATCTAATATTGAGATGTTCGGGATGGAAGAAGTGGGTCGTATGTCAGTTCTGAAATAACATACCGAAACCCCCTGATTTGTTCGCTTAGATGGATCCCTGCCTAACTCTACTTCCTTGATTCCTAATCGCAAGGTAATTGGGTGGAAGACCAGCGGTATCAACCAAGCGAGCGGTGATTCTCAACTATCGAGCAAAAGTCATTCTCACTATTGAACTTTCTAAAAAGCCCCATGAACAAGGACAGTCTGCGGTTTGACCCAGCTGAAGCAAGGGGGGAATGGTCGGTCAGGACTTGGAAGCGAAGAGCAGAATCGGCGGTGGCCAGAAGGCATGCGACGCGAGAGCATTTCATATCAATCAACCCAGGGCAATAACACACAGGATCAAATCAATTGCACAATTGTCGAGAGCATGTCGATACTTCAAGCTTTTGTTGGTGGTCAAGATGAAGGGAGGTAGGAAGTCATGTGCCTTATCACCTTATCGATATCGATATCGCGTGATGCCAAGACCCGCATGCGGTGGTTGTAATGCGGGGGAAGCTTCCTTCGATATCTTTAAAATATCTTTGATCCCTCATCTCTATTTCATATTGTGGCTTAAGTCGCTACCGTGTATATAATTATAGAGGCGTTGTTCCCACCGCATATTCCCTAGCTTGCCTTAATCTATCCACCAGTCATGGGAGACTTTGGCCCACCCGTGCCGGTACCCGAGACGGAGGTAACTGGTCCTGTTCCGTCATCTTTGACAGATCCAGAGGAAGTCTCAGTACTGGTAACAGGATTTGGTGTAAGTTAATCTGTCTTATGCTTGACTTAGGGTCCTTCGACTGTCTTGACTTCCGATGTGACCTTCATACTAACAACGTACTAGCCATTCAAGACCAACGTAGTCAATGCCTCGTATTTGATTGCCTCGTCTCTGCCACAGTCGCTTGACCTTCCTTTGGCGAAGCCGTCTGGATCTGGGCCTACTTCTCGTCGGATCTCAATTCATGTGCATCCATCTCCCATTCCCGTCGCCTACTCAACAGTGCGAACAACCATTCCAGCCATCCTAGAGGATTATGTCAAGTCCCATGGAGGTCGACGACCAGACATCGTGGTTCATATAGGAATAGCAGCCACAAGATCGTACTACTCGATTGAGACCAAGGCACATCGAGATTATTACCATTTGTCCGATATCAAAGGCAGAATCGGTTACGAAGATGGAGAGAAGGTATGGAGGGAGCACCAGCTCCCGCCAGTACTCCAAGCTGGTCCTGCGGCGGATTCCACAGACGTAGTACAGAAAAGCCTGAACCCTCAACCTCCCAATAACGACTTTCTCAGCACGTGGAAGTCGTTTGTATCTCCCGGAGCAGACGTCCGGATATCAGAGGACGCTGGACGCTACCTCTGCGAGTTCATCTTTTATACAAGCCTGGCACAAGCGTTTCAACAAGGTCAGCACCGGAACGTCGTGTTCTTTCATGTGCCTGGGTCTTGCGCCGACGAGGACATCGAGAAAGGAACGGATATTGCGGCTGGACTGATCAAAGCTCTTGTAACATGCTGGGTTAGCGGGCAGGCATAGAGCGGCATGCTGGTTGCTGGTATCTTTATGCAAAGCAAGAGCATGTGCACTGGACGATATATATACTTGCATTTTGTATGGCGCGGTGCACTATCTAGGTTCCGGATGCGCTTTTAGTTGCAGTCACTCGATTTCTCGAGTGATCATTTGTTTATAAAGGACTACTGCCCCCGGTCTTTTCGGTTTGATTTATACATGTTTATCGGGATTTGGATACACTATTTACCCTCTGACTACTACCGATGAATATAAACAGCTATCAAGCATGATACTCGGTTCTAGCGTATTCGTATATGTATAGATTTTCCCGTCGGGGAAAAGTTCCCAAACGCCTTCCGATGACACCCATCAGATCCCGAGACACATGATCCGATATAAATACCGACAACACCCCAAACCACTATCGGAAAAGTGCCATATAACAAGGATCAAGTATAAGGGACAACAGCGATCAGCCCTAAACCAAATCCACCGGAAGGTGGATCCCAAGCTTACTCATCCGTCTCCATAACTAAACTCGGGTCATTTTTGCAACACTATAATAAAAAGACTGCGAGCGTAGTCTATCTACAGCATCCCAAACTCAAAACCCCATATAAAAGATCAGCCTAAAAGCAAACAAAAAGAAAAGGAAAAAGAAAAGATGCCAGACCTAGACACCCCCAAAACCCTCACAATAGCCACCACCATCCTAGCTCTCCTAACCATCCCCATCTTATACCCCCAAATCCCAACCTGGCTCAAAACCACCACATACAAACTCCTCCCCAACACACACACAAAGAAGCACCCCAGCAGCGAAATCACCTCTCTGAGAATCTACCCCATCAAATCATGCCGCGGCCTCAGTCTAGAAAAGACAACTCTACATATGGAAGGCCTCGAGTTTGACCGCCGGTGGATGCTCATCGACGCCAAAACCCACGAGTTCCTGACCATCCGCCAAATCCCGCAGATGACGCTCATCAACACCGCTCTCAGCGCCGACAACCAGTCCCTAGTGGTCACATTCACAGGGGTTGTTGCTGATAAGGAGGTCCGCATCCCCCTCCGCCCAGACACTCAGTGGCTAGATACCCACACGACCCTGGGCCAGGTCAAGATCTGGGACATTGAGACGGACGCCTACATCTACGGGCCTGAGGTTAATGGCCCGTTTAGTGAGTTCCTGGGCCGTGATGTCTGTCTCGTGTATAAGGGTCCTACACCGAGGGTGATGCGTGGTAACGGGGACCCCAGGCTTCTGGGTCGTGAGCAGAGTGTGAATTTCCCCGATGTGCATCCTGTACTTGTTGCTTCAGAGGCGTCGATGGCGGAGCTGAATTCTCGGCTTGTGGAGAAGGGCGTCGAGCCGATTGGGGTTGAGCGGTTTCGGGCTAATGTTATTATTAAGGGGGGTGAGCCTTGGGTGGAGGATGAGTGGAAGGTTGTTAGGGTTGCCGATGGGGAAGGGAAGGTGCTGGAGTTTGATGTCCTGGCGAGGTGTACCAGGTGTCAGGTGCCGAATGTTGATCCTGATACGGCGGAGAAGCATAAGAGGCAGCCGTGGGATACGCTTATGAGTTATCGGAGGGTGGATGAGGGCATGAAGTATAAGCCTTGTTTTGGGATGCTTTGTGCGCCCAGGGGGGAGGGCGCTTTGGAGGTCGGGATGAGGTTTGATGTGCTTGAGGTTACGAGCGATCATCGGTATATTCAGGGTTTTTGATGGTTTTGGGTGTGTGAGTTGGTGGTTAATCTAATGAGCGAACGATGGCTTGTTCGCTTGGTTTCTGCGTAGTCGATGTCTATGTTTGGGATACCTTTGATTCTGTGTTCTGGATATGTTGGAATATGTTACAATATCATAAAGGTTGGTGCTTTCATTAAAGAAATCTATGTTCTAGTCTGGAGGCAAAGCTCAGTTCTTCATCTGCTTGCTGGCGGAAACACACCAGTTGCTCCACTCGCTGAAGAACGAAGGCTGGACATGGCATTTCTTGCTGAGGAACTGCTGCTTTCGGGTCTCGGCGTAGACATCCACGATGCCCGAGATGTTATTCTTGTCGTGTGCGACGAGAACCTTAACCATAAGAAGACTTGCCTGGCTGCAAGCCGAAGCATGCGAGGGCGGGCCGCTGTGGCTGGCCTCCTTGTGGATCGAGTTCAGGAGCTCCCAGGCAGGCTCAACGGACTCTAACTTGGGCAGAGCAGAGCCCTTGCACAGTCTCGTGTAATCGCGCAGCACAGAGTTGGCCTTGTTCGAGATCTGTTTGACGGTAGACTTGCGAGTAAGACGTAGAAGGGGGAGAAGGAGGTCGAGAGCCAAGAGTTTCGAGTGGCACTTCTTGACGTAGATTTCAAGGAGGTCAAGAACACGGTTCTTGAAGTTAACCATGTTCCCCTTGGCGTCTTTCTTGTCTTTGTTCTTGCTCAGGGCATCCCGGCGTGCCTGGAACACCTTAGCGAGCTGCTGGTCTACCTGTTCCATCTCGTCGTCGTTCATATCGGCATCTGAGCCCTCCTCGTCATCGTTCAGGTCTTGATTTGCACGGTGCGGCCCGAGTGCTTCAGCAAGCTTCGCCTCGAAGATAGCTTCCTCGTCATCGTTTCCATCTTCTTCTTCTTCTTCTTCCTCCTCGGATCCTTCCTCCTCGTCGTCTTCGTCGTCATCATCTGAGCCCTCTGCGTCGACGACTTCGACGTCACTGTCGTCTTCGTCAACATCCATCATTTCCTCGTCTTCTTCACCTTCATCGTCCTGTTCGAACATCTCTTGCTGACCCGCAAGACTCTCCTTCGCTTCCAAGATCTAGAGATAATATAATTAGTTTCGATGAACATCAGAATGGAAAGGAACAAAGCACATACGGAAACCAAAGAATCCAGTCCATTCTCAGAAATCTTATCGGCAAAAGCACCGAAGACTTGTTCACTCATACGGCGGAAGAGCTGGGAAGGCTTCGAAGCGAAACTCAAAAGAATTTCCACAAGCGCATCGGAAGCATCTGCTGTCTCTTCCTTCTTAGACTTCTTGTCTCCAAAAATCTTTGAGAAGCAGAAGTCCAGTTCATCCAGCATGGAAACAGCATCAGCATCACCGTTGTACACCTGAAGGATGGTCATAGAGTAAAGTAGCTTGAACGCATCAACGCCAGCGGCATCACCCTTCTTCTCCTGTATATTGTTAGACTGGGTTTCCAAACAGGGTAAAAAGCGAGTTTCGGGTTGACGTACCGTGCTTGACAATTTCTTCAGCGATTTGAATGCGCCCTTCACTGAGTCCTGCAGAGTATCATCCATAGCGATGATAAACTTGCCATACTCCTCCGATTTGGCTACATCCCGAATTTTGCGGACAACTGCATAAGGGAGATCAGTTGCGTACTTCTGGTTGGCGATCAGACTGTTCAGGCAAGAGTTGATCCTGCTCCGGAAGAGCTCCTGAGTCTGCTGGGTGAGAGCTGGCTCAGCAGCGGTCTGATCACGGCTTCCACCGTCTTTCTCCACAAAGTAGGCAAATCGCACGAAAGTGAACAGGATGTGTTCGAGCACTTCCTTGGCACCCTCTTCCGACTCATCGCTGGCGGAAGCCCGAGACCTAACAATGGACAGAAGCAAGCCAGCAAGGAACTGGCGGCTCGAGGCAGCAGCTTTGCTGTCACTTGTACCCGGGCATGCGACGAGCTTTTCGAAGAGGGGTACAATCTGCTTGAGTGCATCTAGGTTGGCCTCAACCACAATCTTCTCCACCGTCTTAGTCTTAGTAACTTGGTCAAAGTTCACTGAGCCCGCCGAGCCCATCAAACCATTGATCGAAGCTGCGGCAAACTCGGGTTCCTTTGATACGCGGGTCTGGATAGTCTTTGCAGCCTTAGTCGCCATACGGTGAAGATACCGGTCCTCAACAGCGAGCTGGTTTGTCAGGCACCTCACAAGGTTCTTTGTGAACACAAGGGAAGCCAGTGGCAAGGGACTCTCATTCAACACCTTGACGAAGAGGAGGAATCCCCAGTATTTACGCTCGTCCGAGGAAGAAGCGGCAAAGAGACCATCTGTTTAAGACTAGTTAGAGCCAGTACCTTTGTTGGAGCAAACAGGACAACCTACTGTCGACAACCTCTGTCCAGAAATCAACGAAGCTAAGACGAGAGGACTTCGACTTGCTCTCCTTGGCTGAGGTTTCGCTGAGCCTGGACAACACAGCATCCCAAGCAAAGTGAAGCTTTGAATTCCACACGCCCGATGACTTGGGGTTGCTACCCTTATTTTCACCTTCGGCCTCGGACACAGAGGATTCCTTCATGACCTTTGCCAGCTGACTCCTCTCCTTGGTGTCCAGTGGGTCTTCATGTTTCCATACTTTACTAGGAAGTTTCACTTTAGGGAATAAGTCCTTGACTGCTAGCCAAATAGCAACTCCCTCTGGCGTCCGTGCCAGATCATTCGTGCAAAGGCGCTCAAGAGTGGAGTCCACAAACTTTGCGTCGGCTTTCTGAGCAGATAATTCGTAGACACAGCGGTAGACTATCCAGCCGCATTCTTCCCTGATCCATGGCTTCTTCTTGGCCAGATCAAAGACCAGATCGAGGAGCTTTGTCCACTCAGAGAAAGGTGCGTTAGGCTTGAAAAGAATACCAGACTTGATAATAGCCTCTGCACCGAATAGACGTCCAAAATGATGATCTCTTTGTTCCTTTATATTTTAATTAGCAACGGGACACGAATAGGAATATCGTTATACATACCTGGCCCGACTCACTTCCGGAAGCGCTAGACTGTGACTCCCAGAACCCTACTACTTTCGGGATATCAATCTCTGAAGACTCTCTGGGGTTAGAAAGAACTTGAGACAGAATCTCAGTCAAGGCGATAGAAAAACCAATGCGCGCAGCTTTTCTGCTACTGCAGAGGCCGCGGAAGAGTCTCCGCAAGGTCTTTTGGATTTGCTCATCTGTGGCATTCTTGTCGGGCGTAAATTGCGATACCAGCGCTTGTGCAGCTTTCAATCTGATTTCATCTTTCTCGCTCGCGAGATCTTCATATATTTCCACCAGCTTGGTATCAACGTTGACTGGCTCGCGGCGTCTCTTCTTAGAACCGGCCTGATTTTGCGCCATTGCAGCGGGAAAGTGGGTTCAGTTGATCAGGCCTCACAGGCTCTCGAAATACACAATGACACCGCGCGAAAGAAAGAAGAGTTTGAATATGTTTAGATTGATGTTGTTTGAAGATTTACTATGTAATGTCGATGGTTTGACCCAACGAAAATTCATTTTGCGACAAGGTTACTTACCGGTTTGGGTTAGCGTTATCTGATAAAAGCAATCGATCACCGCTTTAAATCCTCCACCGCCTGCTGTTTTGCGTAAGGTTTCTATTTCTACAGCAACGCCGATACAATATAAACATTTTTAAGTATAGCACAACGTCCATTGAATATCATGAAAGGATCGAAGATCTTTCCAGGTTATGTAACTTTTCTTCTTGATATTCAATGTGGCCCAATATATCGATGTGCTCGCATGGATCCGTGTTCGAGACCGAAAACTCTTTTCCGTACTCGGGATTTGAACAAGTTGCAAAGAGCGAGACTCTTCTTTCAGTGAAGGGATTACGTTTGTGATGATGTGTACTATATACCAAATGCGATACTTAAGATAGTCTCTCATATCTGGCTTGTGTAAACAATTACCTGTCAAATTGTATAAGCTATGCAACAAATAGGTCACAAAAAACTCTTTCTTGCCACACTATATATCACAATGCACAGGCCTTCAACTTGCCGTTGTATGTACCGCCTCAATAGTAGAATTTGCTCGATATATTCTAATACCAAACTGAAAATTGATGTATGACAGGCAATACTAAGTTGTACTGACCGTATTTTACAAAATAAGTACGATATACTAGTTGAGAAGTCTGTCATATCTGGCTTAAGGAAAAAGGAGATGACACTTTGTCTATTCTTCCCGCGGTTCACTGTCAATCCTCCATTTGATAACGACTTACCAGTCCTCCCCCCCCCCTCCCCCCCCCTTTGGCATCATACCCAGCTTGATATTTTGTTGAACCGCCTCAATGCCATAAAAGTTAACAACATCTTTTAAGACCGGCCTCACTTTTCCTTCCTCAACCGAGTTGCTCAGCATATCGAGATCCTGCTTGGCTCCACCCAAATAAATCCATAACGAACATTCTGGAACCGTGTTCGCCTTTTAGGGAAGCAATCCTGCAGATTGAGCGCCACCAAAGCATAGATCCGTATTGTTGAGATTTGCGATAGATGCATCAGATCCGAACTCGTAGCAGGTCACCAGGCGGCAATGTAGAAATCGAGATGATACATCCACGCGGTCGCAGAAGCAGCAACTGCAGATGTGAGGTCAGCAACTGTGGCTGAGAAAAGGCACTAGCAGACAATACTTCTGTCGGGTCACCTGTCAATTCTTCAACTTTCGGGGCTTTCGATGTGGAGACTCTAGTGATTAGTTTCCCTGTTTTGAAAACGTTCTTGGCTAGTTGGCGTGCATATGACATGGTTCCACTCGCTGTAAGTAGAATATTAAAATAATTCTTTTGTTGGAATAGGTAAATACATACGACTGGAAGGGATAAAAACGGTATTGTCGTATAGATCACCGTGGAACTTCTGGAGCGCTTGAAGGGAAGTTAGAGCGGCCAGAGGGAGCGACACTGCATCCGCAGAGCATAATGAGTATATAGCTTGAGAGGATAACATCTTCCGGGCAGGCTATATATCCGCTTCATGGGCCTAGGATGAGAAACGTTCGGTTACCTGGCTGGGTACAGGACAATATTGTGCTCTTCATATACGTGTGTCGGCAGGACTCTGGAAGCCTAGTGTAGACAGTATCCCCAACTCTGCATTGAGTTACGCTCGATCCGATGTCAGTGGCATTTTCTGCCACAATCGTAGCCAGTTTGGCATGGAAACCTGCTGGGATCAGCTTAGCACAGAAAGTCTTTGAGTAAGGTGGCATTAACGAGTCCTTGAGCACCATAAGCAGCGAATATGTATATACCGAGAAAGACTTGCTGTTATGATAAGAGTACACTGGGCTGGGATATCGTCAGGTATCCTAAACACTTCTAAGTAGGACTGTCCTGGCAACTTTCCCATGAACAGCAAACATAGGCTTAGATGCTCCGGTTAGCTGAGCAGGAGAGCCAGGTGCCAAGTGATGATGGCAGGGAAAGTGTTCTAGAAGTGCAACATTTTCCTTAAAAGGTATATGTCGCATATTGTATCGTCCGGTGCTGAATAGTCCATTGTGCGAAGATTGAGAGCAGGAAGTATATGTTTATAAGGCAATGTTAGTCTCCCATAAAAAACACCACACGTTGGTGGGTGGAGCCAAGTATATGACAGATCATGACCGTCAGACAATAGAGTAGATGTTAAGTAATTCACGTAAAAAGACGTGTAACATAGCTGCTCTACTACGTTATTTCGAGACATATCTTATCGGGGTAGTCTTTTACCGGTGGTCTTTGTTGATGTGTCTGACAGTTTATGGCACAAAGCTAGAGTCAATGCCAGCTGATATTCTGGATGAATGGCACACATGCTAGCGGTACTTATATGAAAACACACACATGTGTGAATACTGACATGATGTTCTATTAGGAAAAAGTTCTGGTTGGTTACATATATATATTGAGATAGCCAAACTATTCGAGACACTACGCGTTTGCTCTGACAACACAGTTATCCTCCATTATTTTACAGTTTCACAAACCAGATGGCTTCCCACAGGAATATCACATCAGATTCTAGGAGCTATCAAGGCTGTCATGGATTCACCATAACAAACAATTGACAATGCCCTCCTCCGTAGCCCATAGACCTGGCAATTCCCTGAGCCCCAAGGCAGCATGTCCAGAACCCCTACCGTACATCTAGACAAAAAACAGCCACGGAATGTTTTCTCAACCTGGTTAAAAACACAACCTGAGTAAAGCTCTCAACCAAGCCCCCATCAATCACGCCCCTATCTCCTCTCCAGCCCAAACCATCAACAAACACTTAAACAAATGCCACTCCATCGACAACAATGTATCCTTCTCAGCGTCCCTAACCCCACTACCAAGCATCAGAGAAGCTCCAGTCAAGCCCATCCCAAGACTACCAACAGGGCCAAAAACCCCCTTGCAACGTCCTAGTCAGTCCCTACACGCTAATCCTTACCCTATAGCAAGCATATACTCCCAGTCAATGGTGAATACTGCTATCAGATGGACAATATAACCAGGTAATCCACGACCCCCTTACTCCTTAGTTCAGAGTCTATCACCAAGAATGCAAACTACTCACGGCCCTAATTCACGTCGACCTCGCCCATAACATGCATACCTTCTATGTCAACGCCACAAGAGATAAGGCCAGGAACGCATCGTCATTGAACATTCCACGAATGAAAGCCACCGCTCGTTGGCCGGATAATCCAGCCTGGCATGCAGAATGCGGGCCCGTTGACACTGACTGACTGATTGACCAAGATAGGATATCCGTTAGATATCTCCTAACGTCAGCTAACGTTCCATCTAACAGAAGTCTATTTTGAATGTACGTAGTTACTAGTGTATAGGTTCTGCAGGTCTGGATATACCAGTATGATGGCTCTCCCAGCCACTTCTCCAGGATTCTCGTCTATCTAGGCCTTGGAACATTGGAACTCTATTTCCCCGGGGGTTTGAAATCTCCTATCAATCGCATACTTCTAATACTCTCCATACTAGATCCACCTTCTCTTTTCAACCAACGTATTGGTTTGACAAGAATCCCAGTATGGAACACAACCCCACCCAAACCCCTATTGGGAAGAAGAGTCACCGTTACACTGGGATCCACATGCTCTATCTTGTAGGAATGGATGTGCACTGGGCTGTAAGGCACGTAAATCATGCTCTGGCGGTGAGGTTTTACTTTCTCTCTCCCCACCTCTCTCTTTCACTGTTTTGGCTGTGTTTGAGTCGTGCAGCGTAGGGCAGGACAGGGTTATGCATTACCTACGAAGGGGTGGAGGAGGTCGAAGCAAGGGTGGTGGGGACGTTGATTATCGGGGATTTTTCTGCGTGGGAGGGATAGGAGATTTTGATGCTAACGGTTAATGGGATGAGTCAATTGAATAGAAAGGGATTGTATTGGTTTCATCTTGGGTGGATTGGTTTAGCTTTTTTCTTTTGGGGGATGGGATGTTTTGGGTGAGGATGTTACTTTGGGGGTCGTGGGTAGTGTATTTTGGTTCTATAGGTGGTGTGGGGGATGGTGATGGGATAATCTAGGGGTGGAGGGGTGGAAAGGTAAGTGCTCAATCTCCGCCCTTTTTTTTGGAGTAGA